TCGGTAAATTTAGACAGGACCCGATAATTCTAGGCCCGAGTTCAAACCTAACCTTCAAATGTAGGCTTATGAATAGTCTTATTAAATATCTAATTAAATGAGCATAACTATGTAATTATTTATAAAAATGTCTTAATAAATAGTTAACTAACACTAATGAAATACTCTAGGGAAAACGAATCGAATGGCAACACAATATTAATGGTCAAAATGTAACCGCGTAAATTGTATCCATTAATATTCATTTGAATTAAAATAGAATCATGGATACAGAAATCTTTAAATATCATGCAACTTTGTTTCATCTGTTTCATTGAATTATGCCATCGAAAATATCTTTTTGGCGGAGTGTTGGCAGAATCCATCGCGTCTGCGGTGTTGCGGTACCCGAGTGAATCAGCCGCTTACCGCCCACCGCACGCAATCTACGTCATCGCGGTAACTACCAATAACTACTAAAATATAAAACAAGGTTAATTTCATTTCAATTCTACGTAAATTCAATTTTAAACGTAAAAAATAAACTAAACTTGAGATAACTTGAGAATTCTACCTAAACTGAATAAAAAAATATTTGAATAGCGGCATTGCTTTTATATAGATGTCAAACGTAGACACAAGAAATGGAATTTTTAATGTTTGTTTAATTATATGAATTTAAAATAATTAACAGTGTTTTGTTTTGTTACAGATCACGACACAACTTATAAATTATTTTAAATCTATCGTAAATGTCACGTAAGTCTTTTGTTATGTTCTTTCCGTTCTGCGGTCGGCGTGTCTATGGTTATAATTTTGGCGGGCTATAAAAGTGTCTCCGTGTCGATAGATGCAGGTGATAAAAATGCTTTGTTTTATCTAATATTTTACTACAGTTTATTTGTGTGCAAAATTGTCATGATTCGTGTAATAAAACCACATGAAAGTAAACATCTGGCGTAATAATCGTTAAAATGACATTTTATAAGGAAAATTTGGTGAAAACATAACTAAAAATATTAAAGTCACACAGTTGGTTCATATATTTTCTGTTGCATTTTTAAAAAATGTTTTTACGACTTTTCGATTGTGTTATATTAGCTACTCATTTTTGTTCTTTTTTTCAAACATTTTCTACCACATTTGTACGTGTTCTATTTTCATTCAAAACAAAAGAAAATGAAGCTGTAAAAATTAAAGTGGTTGTTAAAATATAATTAAAAGAACGCATAAAAATGTATGCCAAAGATTTCCTGATAATGTCTCAAGTTTACGCGAATTTCGCGGTCAGTGGAAATTTACTTTTAGTTAGTGACGCAAACGCATTGGACCTGAATTCCGAATAGTTAAAACTCTTGAAGTTTCGTCTTTTGTTTATTATATTTATTTTGTAGTAGATGGCAAGAAGCAAGCGACCATCTGATTCTGCATAAATAGCCAAATTATGAAGATTTTATTGCCTGGTTACCGAACCTTCAAGCCAAGTGAATATTGCCCATGGACAACTACGTAAAGAGGTTGCATATTTGATAGCAAAAAATAGATTCTGGTAAACGTATCAAAGATGTGGTTAAAATAAAGTAATTAAGAAGCATTCTTAATAAGTCGTATAAAACTTTGTATATTTACATAAATTAAAACCATTCTGAAAGTGAATCGTAAACGTTATTTATTTACTCTTTACATCTAAATTAAACTGGTACATAGTAACTGGATTAGCATTTTCAATTCTAAAAATGTTCGGGAAGCTGTTCTTCTACACATAAAATTCCCCTCCGTTAAAAAAGTCTTAGAAAAATATCTTACACCACACACGCAAGACTTGTTTAAAAATACTTACAAAGAGCGTTCGGGTATCGAACCCAGACATGTGGATCGCATATATGCTAACTCGTTAGTATTCGTAATCTAGTTTCACACGAGGGAGGAATAATGAGGCACGTGTCTAAAAACTCATTATACATTCGCACCGAGATACTCGAAGCCTACCGTAACCGGACCTGCGAGTAACGGTTACATGCATGATATCTACTGTTAGGAATAAAATTAGTACCGTGCTATAGAATTGGCGCAACTCTAGATTATCGGCATAAACGTCACGTCCCTAGCTGACAGCTGTCAATGTCACTAGAAGTATGGATAGATTTGGCGCGCATCCTAAGTCTTGACGAGAAGTATTGCTCTGAGTTAAAAGCGACAGTATCAATTAAATAAGTTGTCTAATACTACTACCACGTACAACTAAAGACGTGTGTAAAGGTTTATTGGTATTCAAATAGTAGTACTGTCCTGAATGTTCAGCCCTCGTGTAAAACTAACATAACGTCCTTCACGTTCAGCAGATCGCGAGAATATTTACATAAACAGAAAATGTTGTTTACGTTATTTCTGTATAACATACCGGGGCGCATGAAATTCCGCTACTTCTGCACTACACAAAATATCAAACTTGTAACAATATAATTGAAAACGAGGGCATGTTTTGATATTATGAATTTAACTGTTAATATAAACTATAAAATTATTTAAAAGCTTCAATTTTGCTTCGAATTATCGCATTTAGCGAAAATTTTAGTCTATGGTTTTATAAAAATTTAGCTGCATTTAGAGTGAGATTATGACTTACTCTACAGAAAAGAATGCCTCAGCGCCTTTTTAGCACTATGAATTCGCCAGTGCAGCTTCAAGAAAAGAAGAATGAAAATGAAGCGAAAGTTCTTCATAAAACTGTCTTTTTCCGCTTTGCTGCTGATGAGTAACAGTATGTCAACAGCAAAGTGAAAAGGTCTCCTTTATGAGAACTTGCTCCGAGATCGACGACTGTTCATATCATATGTGTATACAATAACTGCAAGAACTTCAGATACTGCATTTTATATGCAACTGTTATTTGTTTTAATTTGTTGTTCTGTTTCATCTACCTAATTCTACTCCCGGTCGGGGCACCAGGTTTTCATTCTCCAAATAATTCTGTCATCCGTCATCTCAGTCATCACTCTCTTCGTTATCATGCCACCTTTCACGCACTACATGCATCTCTTTCTAGGTCTACCTCCACCAGTGTACGTCCACACTCATAACTATTTAATTATTAACTAATTAAATTGTTTAAACTATCGTGAGACATTACTTCAAGCGAAAATTAATTAAAAACGGCTCAACTCACGCTTTGTTCCTCCGGTGACGGCACCGACTAGTTTCGGATCCTTCGGGGATCCTTCTTCAGGGCGAGTATTATTTAACTTTTGTTCGGGGTCGCGTCGCGCCTCGCATTGTTAACTAATTAATTAATTAACTAATTAATTGATCTTTTTACATATCTTTTATTGTAAATTGTGCAGTTTAGGCACCACAAATCTAGAAATAACAAAGGGCCACGTCACTCAAAAATTGAACGCTTGGATTTTGCTATGTCAAGTATGTTTTAACCATTATTTTAGTCCGTTTGCTGTTGTTGGAAACTAACAATTTATATCAACATCCAGTATTTCTGTTAAATAATGCAATATCTGCTAAAATAAGAAAAAAAACGTTTAAAATCGTCTGCGTTTAAAATAGAAAAGAAAGTCACTGTATAATTTATAAGTGAGAGAGAATTTATTATCTTTTAATCTAACGAAGCAATTTTTCAGAACAACAGTTCCCGGTGGCACAATAACGAATTGAGGTATGCCAGGATTACTTCGCGCCCATCCTATCTATCAACAGCTGTGAAATATTTCACTATAGAGAAGTCTGTTTGAATTGTTCAAAGAAACGTTTCGGACATTTTATAAGATGCGCGGCGAAATTCAGATAAATTCTCTAAATCTAAAACCTCTGTTTAGTCTGTGCCAGATCTCTTCGAATGTGGAATTGTTTATTTTTGTATCTATATGTTTATCAAATAATTACGTTCTGTGTTCTCATTTGTAGCTTTGTAGCATGTTAGCCAGTTGCAAGAATATGTTATTGTAGAAAAATAATTGTGCTCTAAATTAACTGAAGAACCAGTTTTACGTATTGCGTTAAAACTACATTAAAAAAAATACAGACAATACGGAAGTGACGCACGGTAAGTAATAAAAAAATCCTTATGTAGATGCACTATTTTAAAACAAATTCTTACATTTCTTTAGACATCTATTCTCTTTGTTAATTAAATTTTAACGAACATAAAATCTATTTCTACTTTAAGAACGAAAGATTTCAAACGAAACATATTAAAAAGCGGTTTGAATTATCTTTTTAACACGAAAACAAATGAAATCTGTTGAAAATTTTGAACGGAAATTAAACATAATAGAGGATGTCTTATCGTGTGTGATCTTTGATTTCCTCTCTAAAGTTTCGTGTTTTAAGAGATTTTAGACTTTAGGTGGACCACGGAAATGTGTTCGAATGTCGACTTGCGAACGTAAACTCGACCACTTGTCTTAAATTAGCGACCGCGTTATAAATCAAGAGATTCGGGCCAGAATTACGCCATAAGAATTCCCCGCATATTTGCGCAACTAGCCGGGGAGAATTGTTTATATTTTGTACTATTCTACGCTTGCGGAATTGCTCGTTTCACGCTTCACTAACGAGCTATTTCTTTTGACTTTTGACGTCATTAGATTTACGTATGTAAACTTATTGTTATTTGAAACATTAGTCTGCTTTGTAACGTATTGTTGACATGTTTCTACGAGTAAAAACACCAATAATACAGAGATTAAATTCTATTCTTTCAGTAGACATTTCCAGAACGAGTAGAGTAATTAATTTGGGTCAAATAAATTCCTTTAAAGCTGCAATGTTTTTTCAGGGCATTGATTTTGGAGCATAAAAACAAGTTCTAAATTGTCTTTTGGTCAGCGTTTTTACCTCATTTTTCATATAAATCATTAGAATCGATATTTTCATTCGGTCAATAAAGTAATATAGGTAAAGTAAATGAAAGAATTTTATACGACAAAAGGTTATATTTTTTTTTTTATATCCACCTTATATATTAAAAATATTTACAACCAAATGCATGTAGGAAAGTAAAGTTTTATATGTTAACAAAAAAGGTAAAACGGCCAATAACTTTTATTTTAAAACTTAATTTTATACACAGTAATTATAAGCCTATTTGACAGGCAAAGAACTGAGCACGAAAATTTTCAAGTAAGTATTGAACACTGACAAATCTAAAAAAGAATAACTTTAAAACGGCTGTGGAAATGCACAAAACTTATAAAATGTTTTGGTTATAGCATTACGAATACTTTCTCGGAAATTTTCGTGCTAGGTCCTCGGGGTTATTTATACTTCTACGGTAATTTTTATCAGTATAAGTTAATGTTCATCCAAATGTGCATAGACTCTTCTTAATTTTTCTCTCTTGTTCTTGTTTGCGTGTTTTTTCTCTTGTTTCCAGGGCTTGCCTACAACTGGCTTGTCGGATTGTACACCCGTTATCCTACGAAAAACTATTATGTATAGCTTTTTGATAAATAAAATATACAGGAGAGATAAAAGACATGAAATTCATTGGATGGAATGGCACCAACATTTCAGATTTTTATTTTTAAAATATATTGCAACAGTAATTAAAGTTTCAGCATAACTTTGTCTAATTAAATATGGCTATCGTAACGTTATAACCTATACTAATATTATAAAGAGGAAAGATTTGTATTAATATGTATTGAAATAACTCAAAAACTACTGGGCCGATTTCAAGAATTCTTTCACCATTAAAAAGCTACGTTGTCAGTGAGTAAAATAGTCTATGTTTTTGTATAATTTATTAACTAGCTTTCGCCCGCGACTCCGTACGCGTGGAATTAAAAAAATACAATATGAGTCGCCTATGTGTTTCATCGAAATCCGTTCAGCCGTTTAGGCTACAATCTCTAACAAACATCCATCCATCTAAACATTCACATTTATAATATTAGCATGATTTCACGCGGACGAATATGCGGGCCACAGCTAGTATGATAAAAAAAGTTTACAAACAATTTCAACAGCGTAAAATGCGATTAAAAGTAACAAAAACCTTCAATAATTAACTTGGGAGTCAGAAACCAGTCAATAAAGTTAACTAGATATCTTTTAACACGTGGACAGATGAAAGCGAAGCCACAATATCAATTATAGTTAAGGGAAACCTAAATAAACTTTTAGAAGACGAAATCGGAACTCTGGAGTGAAGCCAAGCTTTAATTCATAAAGTTTAACTATCTCATGACGTGACTGAAGAGGGAGGGATTTAGCGATCAGATAATGACGTAAAATAGATATAAAAATATCACTATAATTTTAAAAAATAATTCAAGTAAGAGTTAGTGAAATTTTAACAAGTACAAAATAAGTAGTTGAATTAATAGTTCTTTAAATTTAAACATGTACAAGTACTTATTTATTTAGAACTAGCTGTTGCTCCCGACTTCGTCTGCGTGAAATAAAAAAAATTGTAGTCTAGGATTTTTGAAATTGGTTTAGTAGTTTGAGTTATTTCACTACATGCAAAAATACAAATCTTATCTCTTTATAATATTAGTATGCATTAGGTATAACGTATTTATTTAAACAATTTAATTTTAAGATACGTAAATATTAAAAGTAATTTGTTTTAAATCAGATAACTAGATCAGGAATGTTATGAAGATAACTTACCCTAAAATTGGTTTTCCCTTAACATGTGATGTACTTTTCTTCATAGCAAAAAATGCATTGTCAATCTCCGCTGATGTATTCCGCCAACCCTGTATGAATAATTAGTGATCACCCAAACATCATATCACTGTCCTGTCCTCGTGTGAAGACAGTGGTAATTACAATAACTTTAGTAACCTGCTTTTGCGGACACCATATGTGTGGAATTTAAAAAATAATGTATCTTAGTGTACTTGCAGACCATTCTCTATTTCTTTGTCAAATTTCATAAAGATCCGTTCAGCAGTTTAAGCTACAAACTCTACCAAACATCCATCCATCTAAACTTTCACTTTTACACTATCATAGTAAGATAAGATGAAATTTACTTTTGTTTAGTGTACTATTTAGTGTTATAAAAATTACTAAGCCAGCTTTGGCTCCTATTTTAAATATGTAATGTTCTTTAGCTTTGCCTAATAAGTTTACCGACCACTGTACTATCGACTGTACATTGTACAGTACACCGTACTATTGACTGTACATTATACAGTACACTGAACTATTGACCGTACATTGTACAGTACACTGTACCATTGAACGTACATTGTACACTACACTGTACCATTGACTGTACATTATACAGTACACTGTACTATTGACCGTACATTGTACAGTACACTGTATTATTGACTGTACATTGTACAGTAAGTACACTGTATTATTGACTGTACATTGTACAGTACACTGTACTATCGACTGTACACTATACCTCGACCATCCTAGTCTCCCTGGGCGTGGGTTTCCTCGTGTCGTTCTTCTTCTCTTCCATCCTACAATCTAGCGGCGCGGGCTGGTAGCCCGGCGGCAGCTGCTCCCAGTGCAAGCGGCCGCTCGCCGCCTCCTTGAGGAAGAGGCGCGCGGACCTGCTCACGTCGGGCTGCCCCGCCGCAGACATGAAGCCGCGGTTGACTGGTGGAAACGGTACATCACCTCACTTTACCATACACACTAAGAACCTCGGAGTTGACTAGGCCAGAGTCAACCATTCTTACCCCTCTGAGGATTGACTTGACACATAAACTTGAATTAATTCGCAGATATGTACAGGCACTATGTTTTCCTTCAACGTGAAATGTACATATGAAATTCGCAAATCAAAAACAATTTGGATTGGAACCCAGTACCTGTAGATTACAAGTTAAGCAATTAACTTTTGAGCAACCAAAACTGTGTACAGTTTGTATGTAAATTCGAAACAAAAACTAGAAAAAGCTTTTTTACGTTGCTTTAACCCTTATAATTAAGAAGCTTATAATTTAAGAAGAAAGAAGAGCCTTTTTCCTGTACTTATTTCAGTACTTTTTGTTGCTACAAAAACCTCCGTTGAATAAGGATTAAAGTTGCTTTGTCATTTACAAATAAATCCTATAATATTTATATAAAGTATTGAAACATATGTATGGATAATTATTATAATTATTTATTTTTTTGATTGAATTTAAATAAAAACCAATTAAATAAAAAAAAGCTTACATGCGTGCGCTGTGAGTATCTTTTTATACTCGTTGCCCTCCCCCTCCTGGCGGTCGGGCAAAAGTAGCCCGTACTTCTCCTCGAACGTGTGTCGCCCCACCAGCTCGCACAGGCGGGCCATCGCCGCGTCGTGGGAGCGCATCTGCAGACAATATTAACATTTATATATACAAGCAATACAAATATTACATTTTCTACAATACTCAACTAGTTTCATTAAATTAACATCCAAATTATCCTAACCTATGTCTCATCCTTATTCTGGATAAGAATACAAATTAAACGTTTTAAAATTAAAAGAATACAAATTATCTAACTAATATTATAAATGCGAAAAATTAGATGGATGTTTGTTAGAGTTTGTGGCCGAAACGACTGAATGAATCTCGATAGAATTTGGCATAGATGTAGAGGATAGTCTGGAAGAAGACATAGGCTCACTTTTGTTTTTTTTTAATTTCACATAAACGGTGTCGCAGTCGAAAGCTAGTGAATAATAATATTAATGTAAACAATGGTACAAAGTGTTTATATTTCATGCGGATGATGTCGCACGGGAACAGCTGAGAACAGAGTAGAAGTATATATAGGTGATCTAGAAAATACAAATAACAAAATAGGAAAATAATTCAAAAAAGAAATTGTGATCCAAATATTTTTTGCTATAGAAGCTAAATGAAAAGCAACAATATAAAGGCAGAGTACCTGATCGATGGGCAGCACCGCGGTGAGCAGCAGGTCGGGCGCGACGGCGTAGGCCGGCAGCACCAGCCCGGGGCAGTCCAGCAGCTGCACGTCCTCCAGCTGCAGCGACTGCACGTGCCGCGTGTGCCCCGGCATCGAGCTCACACTCACCTGCACACATCGGAAATATTAAAAAACTATGGATTATATGGTGTGACAATGGATTATACAAGTTATTCAGATTTAAAAAAAATGTCGGAACTTCCTTTTAAGTAACCAATAAGTACTTGTGATAGGAAGTCCCGCTCGTCCGTGTAACACATTGTATGATTTACAGTGATAGTGCCCGCTTTAACATCTTAGCATTGCAGGGCCGGCACACCCCCAGTAATACCACGACCACACAGAAGATATGCGTGAAGTGGAAGTAATTCCGTGTTTTGTCTGATGAGCGTGGTGCCGGAGGCCTAATTTAAGTCCTTTACTCCTTACCACCCTTTTCTTATAAGGAGAGAGAGGATTGGAAGGGGCAGTGGATTTGACAGTGGAGGAGATGCATAGGTAGGGGAAATATCCTTTTTATGTGCGTCTCCTCCTCCGTCGGATAAGGGAAGGCAACGCATCTGCAATTGTGGATGTCTATAGGCAACGGTCGCTTCGCCATTTTGGCGGATTCGGGAGGCCGCTTGCTCGTTTGCCGCCTTATGTTATAAAAAAAAAGATCTATTGTTCAGTAATACCCGGCTTTACGCGAGTGTTACGTTCCGAAAAAAATCTCGTTAACTGAAATTCGCGTAAATCGAGGTTTATGAAAAAACATAGACAAAATTCAATACAAAAAAATCATTTTAAACGATCACTTTAATTCTATTAACACTTTATGCAATACATATTGTTATTTTTTACGGATAAATACATCTATTGTCTTTTGGGTAACGTTTTGTTTATGTTCTTGTAAAATACGTTCATAACACCCAACACTGTTTTTAATTGACACACGGTCAAGACCCAATTCGCGACCATAGAGAAGTTAATGACTACATTATTTTCATACGCACTATTTCGCGTAATGCGAGGTATTTGAGCGCGAAATTTGAAATTCGCGTTATAGTGAAACCTCGCGTAACGGGGTCGCGCTATGTGGGGTATCACTCTATATGTAAACGCATCATCCGTGCGTTAACGAACGACTGCTACACCAGCTGCCAGTTTGACAGTTACGTCAATTAAACGTCATTAAACAGTCTGCACTAAGCTAGTGGTTATATCATTACTACCTATACTCAAAAGCCATATTAGTAAGACTAGGTATAACAACGAACATATGTTTACTAACCTTTTTCGTTTGCATTAAAACATTAACAGAGCTCGATTTTCCAACATTCGGGTATCCAATCATACCGACTGTCAATCTCGGAGGATTTTTGAAGTTACTTGTTTTCATTTTTCTTAAAACTCCCAATAGTTTGTCTCTACTGAATATCTCATGAGAATTCACAATTTGCATTTCATTATCTCCGTTTATTTCAATTTGGTTAACAGTTGGTTTATCTTCTTCAAATTCGATAGGTTTCCCTAATTTTAAGTTTTCCAAAACATTGTCTAGAACCTCTTGAATTCTGTCCAATTTTGATGCCGTATTTGTTACCGCTTCATCAATAATTCCTAATTGTTTTTTAAACATTTCAATATCATCTTCCGCTTCTTTTATAGGATTTATTTCATCAACATCAATCGCTGAATCATCCGAGGATTCTGTGTCTGAATTATCATCACTTGTACTTTTTCTTCTTGGTTCTTCTTCTTCTGATATTTTCCTTTCTTTAGAGGCTTTCGCAGCTGAGAAAAATATTATCGATACACCCTGAAAGAAATAAACAATATATAAAGATTTGTTATTAGAAACTAATAGCTATTGCTTATAATTATACTAATATTATGAAGAGGAAAGATTTGTATTTTTGTATGTCTTAAAATAACACGAAAACTACTGGACCAATTTAAAAAATCTTACACTATTAAAAACCTAACTTAACAGTGAGTATCAAAGACTACATTTTTTTAATTTTACCCAGACAAAGTCATGAGCACAAGCTAGAACACTTAACTGATGAAATTAGAAGGCATTTAAACCTCTAAAGAATGTTTCTGTTCAAAAACAAAACGAAATCTTTATAAATGGATAGCCAACCTTACAAATAACCATGGTGTAAAGTTTTTTTAGGGATAAACTAAGTATAAACTGAGCAGATATTAGTACGAATTTTGCTTATACTCAGTACTTTAATCTTAAGTTTAACTTTATACTGTTATTATTGGTAAGGCTGTATCCTCGTTAGAACCTTGCCAATGCAACTGACGGTGTAAAAATGGCGAAAACCAAACACATACAAAACACCAAGTCTTTCAGTACTGCATTGGCCAAGTTTACACCAGGCCTAATGTTTGAACTTACCTCTTTACCAAAGTACTCGGCCCAACATTTTCTCACATACTCAGTTGTCAAATCAGCCTTGTTCAGTAAAAGTACACATTTACAATTTTGTTCAGCTGCATACTTCTCCAAGTCCATACATCTGCAGATTAAATACACAAGGCTATCTTTACTTCTCTAATATGATAGAGGAAGGATTTTTATTGATATTTTTGTATGTATGGTAATAACCCAAACTAATCTGCTAATTTCTAAAATTCTTTCATTATTAAAAAGTTATCAGTGAGTAACATAGGGTATATTTTTTAATTTCACGCAGGCGAAGTCGCGAACAACAGCTAGTATGCTATAAAGATGATTTAGATTTTTGTATGTATTTAAACAACTCAAAAACTAATCTGCTGATTTAAAATTTTCTTTTTCCATTAAATACATTATCACTGAGTTACATAGGCTGTATTTTTTACTACTTTATATTTTCATGTGGACAAAGTCGCAAGCAACAGCTAGTGTACATTAAAATTGTAAAATGTGGAACAAATTGCCTAAAGATTTCGATGAAAGGTCTCTTGGATCCATTCAAAATTATTTCAAAAACATAAAAAGCACTTACCTAAATAATAAAGGGTTTCTAGCATCCAAAAGTATCATAACTATGTCCGATTTCTCTAAAGTCCTCCACAACTGTTTCCACAACTCCAAATTCCTCTCATATGGAGTGACCGCAGCTCCAAGTTTCTCTTGTAGTTCATTGAGGTGCCGTCTCCAGTCCAAGAAAGCATCTCTCTCACGCCCTATCTGTTCTTCTGCTGTTATACTCGGGTCCCATGGAGGTCTGAAATGTTATATCAAATTACCCATCAACTTAGACAAATTTCCTGACATGCTAACACTTTACAATTGTTAAATATTGCTTGTGAAACATATTTGTTCCTTACAAAATCATCGAAAACAAATGAAACAATGAAATATTGTAGCTACAATAAAATTTTGACATTCATCTATTTAGTTACTACAAAACTAAGTTTAACTTTTTTACAAATGCAAATAATACAAACCTTCTTGGTACAGTCAATGGTTCATCAAAATTAGGTTGTGAAGTGACAAGTTCAACGGCTGCAGGGGCTGACTTAACATATTTCACATTAAGTTTCTCCGCAATGAATTCTCTTTGTGCAAGCTCAGCAGTAGAGAGGAACTCTTGTAGAGATGACTCTGCTGTGACTGACTGCAGGTTGAGCCGACCCCATTCATAGCCATCGTTGACCTCTGTAGTGTGCAACTAAAAGTAAAAGATTATTTACAATAAAGCAAACATACAAAGATTTACATTAAAAATTTTGTGTTTGTTTCATACCATTGTATTATCTTCCACATGTCGGCGATGACGATTTTTAGAAAATCTGTCTTTAATAAGAGCCCGGCCCAAAGAATCTTTGTTTTTCTTTCCCATTATATCATACGTTATTAAATTTAAGTAGAAATTGTGAAATTATATGAAATATTTAAATATCAAATAAGATTTTAACACAAATAAAGAGCACACATGCCATCTGACATTGACATTTCTTGACTTTCAATCTTTCAAAATCAAATGACAAAACAGTTACAGATAAGAATAAAAGCTATGTAGTTGGCTAAAAATACAAGAAGCAGTGGTTTTAACTTATATGTTCTGTGGTAAATCTAGCTGTCATTTTAGTTTTTCGATCCGAGTTTCAGAAATCAATTTAGAATCAGACTAATTTATTTTCATTTATTTCAACAGGTTTATAAAACCAACTGCCTAATTTTGTTCGTATTAGTTTATAGTATCCGTTTGTATTCGCCTAACATAAACAATTGACAAGTTTCTGTAATTATGTCGGAATTTTATGATCATTACCAAAATTATTACCATCGTTGGGAGCCGCTCGCGGAATTTAATTTTAATCTTCTTGAGAATGTAACATTTGAAAATAGGAAATATATTTACTGTCTTTGCAGCAGAGTTCACCTACGGTTAGTATTCATGAAGTAGCTTACAACAGAGTTAATCTAATAGCTAAAGATCAATCAATAATCCCTTGTATGTTAGTAACATCCATGTTTTTGTATTTTGATCTTTAGAGATGAGGTATATTGTGTTGATAAACAAAGGCTCACTGTAAGCGATGCTGAAGTTATGCGCAATTCTTACGTTCAGGACACGGAAGACCAATCCCATGTCCATTTTTCTCTGGACACAACTTGTAAGGTTAAATGTGAGGTAAGCAACATAAAGTAACATTAGTAGGCACTTATTACGAAATAATTTGGTTTTTACTGTAAAATACTGATAAAAACTATGAACTGAACATTTTTTTATGTCTAATTTTCAGAATGAAACTGCAAGTTGTTACTGCAGTGCATCCCATACTGAAAATTATTGTTCCACCGACGAACATGATCAAGTCCATTATACATCCAATACAATCCAACCAAGTGATAGTGGAGCCGATCTCACATACCAGGACTATCACTCTGATATTACTAACCATGATAAAATAGATGTATCGGACACTATGGATCAAGATCTAGATATGCAAGATGAGACTAACGAGAACTACTTCTCTGAAGACACATGGGATAAATTCTGGGCTATCAATAGAGAAAGAATTATATGGGCTTCATGGATAAAAAAGTACAGTGACTATATCAACCCATCATACTTGGATGAAAATAATGATCTGGTATTAGATGACAATAATATACCAAAACCGCAATCAGCTGACCCAGTTAATATGGAACAAGCTGAAAGTCCGATAGACAAAGATGAATGCGTGAGAGAAAGGAAATTCTCTTACGATTCAAAAGTTAATCCTTATAAAAAAATCAAAACAGAAGATGAATTGGATAAAGTTGATAAATCAAGTGAATCATTCAGCAAAGAAGAAGCTTGGTTACCCTTAACTCGGAGAAGGTCTTGTTCGGAACACGAAAGGATCGTCAGTCCTAGAACATTTGTTGGCACAGATTCAATGACGAATGTTACAAAGATGACACTGTCAAGTCATGATGTCACTTCAAGCCATATGACATCAGAATCAACATCAACTGATGAATATAGTGTCTCATCATCCCCATCTGATGACCAATCTAACGATCAAACGAGAATCGCTAATCTAAATATTGATGATAATCAAGATCAATCAGAAGAAATGGATACTGAACAGTATTGGGAATTTTTATGGAAGAAACATTTTGGTGAACAATATGCATTGCATTATGCTAATTATATTGCATGTCATGAAGGAAATGTAGATATGGCAATCAATAATGAGATTGAACCAGAGAAGAATGTGGTTGATATTGAAATGGAAAAAAGTGAGGGTAATTCACAAGAGATGGCTTCAGTCATTGAAGTGCAACAGAAGGTGGATAAAATCAAACTAGAAGATAAAGTACCGTCAAAGAAGAATAAGAAACAGAATCGTAAATATGTTGGGTCTATTGGTATTTTGTTACAAAATTTACTGAAGGTGGAAAAGGATTCAGATTTGGATGAAGTTTTTGAAGCGAATGAAGGATATGGTAATACTAATTCACAGGTTGTTGAAAAAACAACAACAAACACTAATACAGCTATTGAGTTACATTTACGACCAACTAAAAATACACAAAAAGGCACAACTGACGATGGAGATAATGATCCACCAGAGGAAAAACCAGTAATATTAAAATCTAGGTAAAGTGTACAAAGTCTTAAATATTTATTTGACAATAGTTCTAGACTATCCGTGCAGAGAAAAAACTTTGTTTTGCCTATGTGTTCTTCCAAACTACCTTATTTGTTCAAAATTTTATTGAGGTCATTTGTTCTGGAAATACTTTCTAAGAAAATATCCATCCATCTAAACTTCCGCATTTATTACTTTACTCGATAACTAAATGGGTGATATTTTCCTTGCCATTTTAATCATGAAATTAAAGACATTTCGTTTATTTTTAGTCATGAGATAGAAGAAGAAGAAAAGGCAGTGGCTGAAAAGATAAAATCTACATTTGATATAATGGGTTTCGCGATCGACGCAGGAAGCATACCTAAAGGAAAGTTAGTCTACAAGAAACGTTTGGGAAAACTTCGACCTCCGCGATACAAAAAATTTGTAACACCAAAGAAAACTTACTTTGATGATGATGGGAATCCTTACACGGTATGAACTTTTATTTTATATTAGACTAGCTGCGGATAAAAAAATCTAGACTGTGTTACTTAGTGATAAAAATGATCATCTCAGTAGTTTTTGAGTATATATAAAAAATATTAATATTTTCTTTTTATAATATTAGTATACATGACCAATAGATTTTCTTACAAATGTGACTTTAAATGTAAGACTTCTTTTACAAAACGATTGATTGATGGTCATGTTAACTTAATCTGCGGAAACTAATTTTACTTGAGTCATATTTTAAAAATAAAGTACAGAATAAAAATTTTATATTTAACAGGAACAGGAATCACAAGAAGACAAAGAAACGGTGACCGATGAGGATTTAGACATACAATCGGATAATGATAAATTATCTGCAAATATGGTGATGGAACTCAGTGATAACAATGATGATGAGAAAGGTGATGGTGAAGAGACGCAGGTGAAGTTGGATGCAGAAGTACCAATACCTGCGAAGGTAGATAACTCCAGTGATGTACAGGATGATGAGAGTAAATATCCCAATGATGTGGCTTCATGTTCAGGTAAATGTAAATGTTAAGATTTGGTACAAGAAATTTTGGGGATGGGACTTAACTTCAATTTTATAATAATAATATTATAAATGCGAATGTTTAGATGGATGAATGTTTGTTAGAGTTTGTAGCCTAAACAGTTGAACGGATTTCGATGAAATTTAGTATAGATGTACAGGATAGTCTGGAAGAACACATAGGCTACTCACTTTTGTTTTTTTGTTTTTTATTTAATTCCACGCGGGCGGAGTTGCGGGCGAAAGCTCGTTTAATAATGTATTACTTACTATTACTCTTGGAGATTTAATTTGGTACACCAGACATAAGAGTATTTTCTAATCTTTGCTCTACTAATTGAAGTTTGTCTAGAAATCTACAACCTTTAATTTGCTTATATTCTTAAACATGTGGAAAAAAAAGAAAAACCTATTGGTTAATAATTAGCCTGTGTCCTTCCATACTATTTTTATATCTATGACAAATTTCATCGAGATGTATTAAGCTATTATGGAGATATCTTGTAACAAACATGTAAATATAAGCATTTGAAATGTTAGTATGATTAATTTATTAATTATTTCATTTCCTTGTAAACAGATCAAACTAAACGTAGAAAGAGACAGAAACGTCACACTAAATCTGACACAAGGGAAAAAGAAGGGGACATTCCGCCAGAACTACAAGGTGATAGCAAAATGGTCAAATACTGGAAGAAACGACATTCCTTGTTCCACAGGTATGGTAAATTTATCTATACATATAATAAAATTTGAGTGTCTGTTTGTAATATCAAAAGATAAATTCCGAATTTCGGGAAGATGACGTTTTTGCGTTGTTAACTACGTTGTTGATATACAGGGTGATACAGGTTTTGTGGAGGTAGAGGACTTCAATAGCTATAATTTAAACGCAGTAAAAAATCGGGCAACAAACTTTGCGTTTAAATTATAGCTATTAAGGTCCTCTGACTCCACAAAACCGGAGATCCATCTGTTAAGAATCACCCTGTATTGATCAGTCTTCTCTTCCATACCCAATAGCCTATTTAATAAAAAAGTTTTTTTTTCTTTATTTTTCCCTTTATGTTCAATTTATTACTCGTTTCAATTTAGAGTATTTAAAAAGAAAAATTCATTTTATGGTTTTATAAGTGGTTTCCCTTCTCCAGGTTCGACGAAGGTATAGTGTTGGACCGCGAGAGCTGGTTCAGCGTGACGCCGGAGAGCGTGGCGGCGCACATCGCCGACAAGTTCGCCTTCGACACCGTCGTCGACGCCTTCTGCGGCGCCGGCGGCAACACCATACAGTTCGCCAAGACCTGCAAGAAAGGTACAACACTCTGCTCTAAATACAATACTTCTTACTAATGTTAACCCTTAAATATGTGATGTTTCAAATTTGATAACAGGGTTAGAAAACACATTAGGCACCTACTGTTGCTCTCAAATTTTGTTAGCGCGAATTTTAAAAGTCGTCTAAACCACGTGTATCTACTTTCTACCAGCTATCTTTCAGTCAAAGTCCGGTCCAAATCGGTCCACACTTTTCGAGATAGCGATCCGGTCGCCATTTTGACACCGCGGAATTAAAAAAAGGAGCCTATAATATTCCCGTCTATGCAAACTACCCTCTAGTGAAAGTCCTATTAAAATCCGGCCCAGCCGTTTCGTAGTTTACCCAGAACAAACGCAGCTTACGGACAGATAGACAAAAAATTTTATATGCGATTTTCGTCATCAGCAACATTAATATACACTATACTATTATAATAAAGCGTAAACACACACTTCTTTCTTGCCTAAGATGTCAGCAATTACAGCATATTTTTGAATAATTCGTTTTTTAATAAAAAGCCCTATACTTACGTCATGCTTTAGGCTATATATTTTCACGCCATTAACCTTAGGGGGTAAATATTTTGGATAAAAACCACAATGTAGGAAAGAGACCATAAGTTGCTGCCAACATCAAGAAAGAAAGATTGCTAAGGTTTGTCATGTCATGTCATTTTGACATTTGCTATTGATAATTTGGCAATAAAATAAAATTTTCATAATTTCATGCGGATGAAGCCGCACGGGAACAGCTATAGTGTGTCTAAATAATTTAGATTAGTTTGACAATTCACTTTAAATTTAGTAGGGATGATTGTGTAAATTCAGTCATGAATCTTGAAGTTGGAATCGATAGATTCATAGTTATAACTTATGAATTGAAAAAAAAAAACACTGTTTTCTCAAATTAATAATGACCATTACAAATAATGACAGTAAATAAATGTTTATTACTATTACAGCCGTACGTAATCGAATTGGATTTCGCTATTATTTCTGTCTTGGCTAAATTCTCTATACTATAATCAATAATATAATTGTCCTCAGAATTAGTTAATAAGAAAATAATAATTTGGTTGAGTTCGGTAATTATTTAAACCGAATATCGATAGTTCATAATTGTTCGCTATGTGTGTTTGTTTCGTCACTACGATACCTGTCTATTAAGGACGACATTTTCCTTCATACAAATTGAATTCAATCCTTCATATGCGTCATTTATCAAACTAATCTAATTTATTCAGACAAACTATAGTAATGTTAATAAATTTATTGGTTGTTCCAGTGATAGCGATAGACATCGACCCCGGTAAGATCTCGCTGGCTCGGCACAACGCGCTGGTGTATGGCGTGCAGGAGAACGTGGAATTCTTGGTGGGGGACTTCTTCCAGCTGGCGGACACCCTGCACGCAGACATGGTGTTCCTCAGCCCGCCCTGGGGGGGACCTAATTACTCACAGGTATTGGTTTTTATAACAATACGACTTAGGGTCCTTCAAGAAGCGAGCCTATCATTTCCTCAAAGACCGGCAATGCATCTGTAGTTCCTTTGGTGTCCACGCCGCTCGTTTACCCCTTTTATTATAAAAAAAAAATTAACTCGAGCGTCGGTGGCTCGGTGGTTTGAGCATTTTACTTGTAATATACAGGTCTTGGTTTCAAATCCGGCTGTACTTATAAGTAAATTTTTTTTATATAAATATAAAGTCACACCTATGACTCAATAGGCCAAAAAAGATATAATTTAATATGTAACATAATATGTAATATATTTTTTCAGAATCAAAAATATGATATAGAAAAAATGTTGGAGCCTAAGCCGGCGTCAGAGCTATTGAAAGTCGCTAGGAAAATAACATCCAACATCGCTTTGTATCTACCGAGGAATACCAAATCTGATCAGGTAAGGAACTGATAGATATTAAAAAAGGGGGTAGTCCATTATTTATGTGATTTTTTTTTAGCAAATTTTGCAACTACCCTCCACTCTAGTGATTCAGTCACTTGATTCAATAAATTTAACCTATCAGTTAGAATATATACAAGCTTATTAAAATGACCTTCAAGGTAGTTGGGCATTTATAAAAAAAAAACCAACTGCGTTGCTTACTATCGTTAAATAAATTAAAAAATTATAAATAAAATAAATGATTACCTATTTTCAGTGTGCACTTGTAATAAGAGATGTGATTTTGTAATGTTTTATTTACAGTTGGTAATATTCCGTAATTTTGTAATATGCCTAGACTATTTTATATAAAAGCATCGGTGGCTGAGGTTTGAGCACGACTGGTAATCTATCAGGTCTTGGGTTCGAATCCCGCTGTACCATTGTTATTTTAGATTTTTCGAATTCCTTATGTACATAATTTCCAGTTAAGGACATCGAGATGCACATATCGGAGAAGAAATTCAAAGATATGTGTGGAATCAACCCGCAGTGGGCCAGTATGGTTCACTAAGGTCTGGTCACCCTTTACTTAGGGTAGGCTCAGTCCCTTAGTGGGGATATATAGTCAGCTGATGATGATTTTTTATTGCAGATATTAGAGTTGGCGCGGTCGATTGGCGCGTCAGTCGAGATAGAACAGAGTTATCTTGATAGAAGATATGTAGCTATTACAGCGTATTTTTATTAATAACTATCTATTACTAATACTTAGTAATTGGGAATTAATGCAATCTAAATTATTATAATACTAAATATGTGTTTTTCAAGGATTTTTTTCTTTGAAATGTGATGAATGTTTTACTAATGTTCATGCGTTACTTTTACTAAAGGTTTTGTCAAAATCAATTCATAATTATTTTATGATTATCTGTACTAGTTGCGTTTTTTTTTAAATTTATTTAATTGATAAAGAAGAGTCATAGATATACCTAAGAAAGCGGGTTTTATAATTAATTCTACTAATTCACTTAGTAAATTCTATTTTAGTGTAAGGTAAACATTAGTTCTTTTGTTATTTGCTACTGGCAACTTGCCACACCTTATTTTAGGCAAATAGACATAATATAGCCCAGATTATCTTAGTTTTCAAGTTATTCAGAACAAAGTAATAATAAAATATTTTCTCTAAAAAATACGTACTTATCAATTAATGTTTAAAATTAATAAACGATTGCATAAATCTTTCAGGGAACTGCCATTTTTATACCTGGCAACACTGAAAGGTTAATAATTTTTTGTTCTAGCTCATATTGACAAAATGCAATTTTTGTCACCATAGATTTTCTTTGATGAATCTTAAGTAATATTAGGATATTTTTGTCTGCTTTTTATGGGTAGTGTAGTAAGTATGTCTTTATCAAGTGAAAAAAAGCCCCAATTTCTTCATAAAATTCTAAATATTCCTGCAAAAATATATCACGTCTACATGGTAGATTTTTGTTCCTAAAACAATTTTAGATTTATATTTATTTAAGAGTGATAAAGGTAACAGCACACAGAACAATTATAAAGTTTGATATTAACTAAAACCATATTATTTTGGGACCAGAAAATATAAAATATGAAACTTTTATTAATAATTGCAGGAATTGGGGCTTATATATCCATTATTTAAAGGACAAAGAACTTTCAACGCTCAAATAGTTTAATAGGAGCGTTCTGGTCCTTCGAGTCGGATACTTTCACATCTTAATATCAAATAATATAAGGTTTCCCGTAGTAATTATAACAATATCCGCCTTTATTCTGATCTTTACTGTCTACAATATATTAATGCAATAAAACGCGCAATTTTAGTCTCAAACTATTTTGTAGTGACTTCTTGTTCAATAATTGTAAGTTAAGATTATGTTTTATTTTTATTAATGTGACTTTTGTAGAATATGTAGTATCTAAGTGCACAATATTGGTATTATTATAGAAACAATAGTTTTGAATTTCATTGCATGATACAAAAAAAATGTTCACTGTAATGTTACAGATTTTGTCAATTTTCATTGTATTTCTAAATGTGAATGTTGTTAAATTTAAATTAAGATGTCTATGGCTTGGAACTTAATAAAAAAGTTATATGAAACATGACATAACTATTTCAATCAAAAGCTGTAATTAAAAGTTAATTTCGATTGATTCAAAAGGACATAATACATTTTTGTATGTTCTGAAACTAAGTCGGCAAAAAAGCTAGAACACATCTTAATACTAAATAAGTGATGTAACACTCCACATAAACATCCACAATTGCAGATTGACTTTAATCAAAGATATTTAAGAAATATATAGACTAGACATTGTAAACATTTTTTCTGGTAACTTATTTGAAAGGTACTATGTTAGTTGTCAAAGTACTCCACTTCATGTCCTGGTATTGACATGTTATCAAACATTTTACAAAATCATAATAAGCTCCATCTTTTGTCACAAAATAAACATTAAAATATGATTTAATTATTCCTGGCAATCCATTTTAATACATTTTAGTTAAATTGACAAGTGGTTTTGAGAATTATTAATAGGTATAATGTGGTAAAATGTCTCAAGTGAAGTGTTATCTATGCTTCCTCTATATATTTTGAAATATCTTTGACTTTAATCAACAGTGGAAATGCAGATATATCCTCTTCCTGTATGTCGCATTCTCCACAAAGTCGGTGATCTGAAGGCTGTTTTTTTTAATATATGTGGTAGACATAATTAAAACTACTTTTTAATGTTTCATGCTTGATTATTCACTAAATGTTGAGTTGCAAAAATATGACATACTCATAAATTAGTCAATGTTCTAAAATATAGTATGTTACTATAAATGTTATTTTCTCCGTAAATATTTGATGGAAATAAAATTACCAAAATATCAAATTTGTCTTGTTTATTTGTAAAGGTCCTCATAATGGTTGCCCAAATACAGTAATGAAATAAAGGTTTTAAATTTTAAAATACACTTTTCAGCTATATTCAAATATCTTGATGGCTTTTAACACTGCATTTATGTTTCTGCACTTTTGCAGGTGTATGAAGGTTCAAGCACTTTTTGCTAACTTTATTACAATATATTATGCTTAAGTACTGAAATAAAATAGTTATCAAAGAGCAATTACTTTATTTAAGTAAAAAAAATTGTAACACGGAAGAATACAAAGCTCATTTACATGAAATATCTTAAGTTGATTGTAACATAAGTAATTATGTGTTTATTCAAAATAACATAGATGCAAAAGTTTGGTTTGTAAATAAAATAAAAATCACATCATTTGTTAACCTCATTAACAAACTTGTGAATATTTTGAAAATGCAGTGTTAAGACTGATTTTTAAATGGGAATGTAATTTGCTATTAAAAATTAAAGTCTTACATAAACCTTATGTTTATTCAAATAGTACAAACTTACAACTAGAGTTATTCTAAGATTTGTATGAGCTAGCATCATTCTTTCATCTCCCCTTCTTCGTCTTCCTCCTCCGCACCTCGTACATAAAGCACATTGTTACATCTGATCAGAACTTCGCCAAGGTTACCTGTAAATAATCAAGAAGATTGTAAAACAATGTAGTTATTCACTTTTGATAGAGATGTTTGATACTACAATTAACTTGTTTCTGTGAGCTAAATTAGATTTTATACCTAGAATTTGTTATTAAATTGAAGTTTATCTTTTATTTTTGTGTCCAGTAAACAATTCTAACCTGTACAATTTCCATCAACAATTTCTTCAGTATTGGCGAGTTGCAAATTCATGTAACCATCTGCAGACACCAATAATCCTTTATATTCATGGCCCCACTTTAATTTTACAAGAACAGCCTTACCAGTTAGGCTGTTTAGGAAAGGTTTAGGGTTGATGGGCATAGCCGCCGCCATTTTTGGTGATAGTTTTTCCTATAAAATAAAGTAAAAAAGTGTCAACTTCTATACTAATAATTGCATAGTATTGTATTCAATAAAACTTATAAAATTAACAATAACTTACTACGATTTCAAATTATAACCTATAACAAAAAGACGCCGCCGCTTTTTGACATTAGGTTTGGTTTGGTTACGCCCTGTTCACACTTGGCCAGTACAGTTGGACTGTCGCGACACATCGGTTTTAGATTGTATGGACTTACTGGTGCCAGTTAGCGTACAGCTTGTGTCAGTTGAATGATAGTCAAGTTACAAAACGCTACGTTCTGGCGAAGTGTGAACCACGCATCATTGATAGGCTAGGTTTTTTAAAAAGGTTTTACGGCTCTGGATTCTTGGTTTACTCTTCTATTTTTTTTTAAATTTTAAAGTATTGTCCTTGCGACTTCCTATGCTCACAAAGTTCTTGCAAAATATTGGAAATATATTTGGTTTGAATTTCGAGGATTATTATAGAGCAGTTATGGTGGTTTTTTTTAAATGTGGGATTAAAAATTATTTTATTTAATTTATTGTGTTGATCGACGTGCCATGACATGCCTTTAACGTCAAACGAAACGAAAGGCCCGCCCAAGGCGAACGAAAATTGTAGAATAAACAAAGATTGTTAATTGTTGCGCAGTGAAGCGAACTGTGTTTACGATCTTTTTGTCAGGTCAGTTTGTTTTATTTGCCGCAGTAACGCAGTAGCAAGTTGTGTAGTTCTATATTTATCCCTTAATTAAATTAACTTGACTCGTACATCTTGAGCAATTATAAATTAACTGAAGAGAGCTGGTGTGTTTAAACAATCATAAATAAATTATTAGGTTAAACCATGGCTACGTTAGACGATAAGTTACTCGGCGAGAAGCTTCATAATTATTGCAGTAGTAGCGAAGGTGAAGATTCGGATGCCGATGAAAGAAGCGGTGATGAAGAAGGGGAACCTTCACATAAGTCAGCTGAACCAGCAAATGAACCTCCACCTGTTAATAGCTGGAATGGATCTGCTAGCAATACTGGCCCTAAGGGTGTTTTGGAAGATTGGCGGAGATATAAACAATTAGAAGCCGAAAACCGCAAGGAAATGGAAATCGAGCGTATAGCACTCGCGAAAAAACTAACATTATCTGTAAAAACTGAGAGAGAAGAGCAACAGGCTAAAGAAAGAGAAGAGATGGAAGATGAACTAAATGAACTTTTAGATGAAGAATTCTTGATGAAATATCACCAACAACGGATGCAAGAATTAATGTCTCAATTACAAAAATGTCCCAAGTTTGGTAAAGTAATAACATTAGATAATAAGGATGAGTTTTTAAATGCCATTGATAAAGAAGATGCCAAAGTTACAGTTATTGTTCATATTTATAATCGGAAAGCAAAAGCTTGTGCCACTATGGATGGTTGCTTGAATGTGTTAGCAGAAGATTATCCTGCAATTAAGTTTTGTCGTATAGAAGCAGATGTAGCGGGATTAAGTAAACATTTTCGTGTTGATGGAGTTCCCGCTCTTTTAGTATATAAAGGTGGTCAGATTGTGGGAAACTTTGTTCAACTGGCAACTGAACTTGGCAATGATTTCTATGCCACTGATGTACAAAGATTCCTTGTAGAATATGGATTGCTTCCTGAAAATTAATGTATTACTAGAATTAAAGTGTCTGCATTTTCTTATTAGATTTTTCATTATGTAACCTCTTGATTAAGTATATAGCATTATTGTTTTACCTTTAAAAGTTTTTGATTACATAAAGTGTGTATTTTTATTTAGTATAAGATAAATTTAGTATTTTCTACACAAAAGTAACAATTCTATGTATTATGTATGAGTGTTTTGTGTTTTAATTAAGAAAAGCATTAAAGATATTAATTCATTACTGTAGTATAGAATTTAATTTTAAATTATAACAATTTAATGCACACAAAAATGCATTTAACAGTAGTTTTCTATAGTCACTTCACTTTCGACAAATAAACACAGGAAAAAATCAGTTTGTCATGGTCAAATAATTTGCAGGCATTATTTTTTTTTATAAAAAGTGTAATAAATCTCAAGTTGCATTAATTATGAAGACACTTGCTTTTCTTACATGGTAGATGCATTATTTTCTGTTCATACTTTTTTTATTTAAATTCTAGTCCATTTGAAATGTTTATAAATGGGAACATTTGTTTTATATTTTGAATGAATTTAAATGAGATTTGATTAGCTAATTACACCAAAATTACCCTTTACTAAGTAGGTATTTTAATCACAATAAAGGTAATTTATATGAAATTGATTTTTATTACGAATCTTACATGAAAAAATAAAAACAATATTTCATTGAACATTTATTTATGAGTACATACAAAATGTTTTATACCAGTAAAAATTCACTTTTACTATGGTTACAAACTTACAAAAGACAATAGTACTTATTGTAATGAGAATATTCTTGTTGGGAAACAACCTGTTGTAAAGTTTACATTTATTACTTACTTTGAGAATTAACTTTAGTATATACTGTCGCAAATCTAAACAGGATAACAAAAAATACTGCCTATGTTTAGTATGAGTTGAAATAGTTGTAATTTAAAGTTTTGGATCATCATCATCATCATCATCACCACTAAACATACCCAAAAGGGGGGCTTGGGGCCTACCCTAATAAGGGGTGACTAGGCCATAGTCAAAAGTTTTGGATATAACATAGAAATTATGATTTCAGCAAACATGCGAAATAATGTTTTGTTTCTCAAAAGGTTTATATAAAACATATGGGTGACTTTTATTAGCAGTCATAAAATTATTCATAGAACATAGAAAATTTTATGATTTTGAACATTGGATCTTTAAGAGTTACAGATGAGAGATTGAATGTGGCAGAGATATGTATAAGATGGATGTGTGGTGGTACAGGGGATAAAGTTAAGAACATATTTGAGGAAGTTTGAAGAAAAAAAAACGGCCAGCATTGAAATTGAGAAGCAAAAGGTTAGCATTGTATGGACAATATCGAAGAGATGACATAAACAAGCAAGTAGATGGTATGTGAATGGATACAAAGGTAGAGGAAGACTGAAATATGGATGGTTTGAGTGAAAAAGAAAAAAAGAAGGGAGTGAATTTAGATAAGATGGCCGATAGAAATGTATGGAAGAACAGCACATACTGTGCCGACCTTCCGAAGGGGCCAGGGCAGTATATGTAACGTAAAAAGTTTACGACAAGACTGTCATTTCAATTTTCAGAATTAAAGAGATATCCTTATATTTAAAAATCAACTTAAGTAATTGACTCTAACAATAGCTATATTTTTACAAATTCTTGCTCTTTTTTTGTTTTTATTTTTTTTTGGCTCATTTAACACTGAAAATACATTTCTCAAAAACAGTTACTTAAATAGTTTTTAGAGATTAATCACCAGAGTTTATATGGATTCCACTTAAATGTAAAAGTATTTTTTTATTCAAACATGAATTGTTCACATTAAATCTACAAAAATGTGCATTAACTAACATAGTTCAACGATTTCGTCAGACATCTCTTTGCGCCGACGCTTCGGTGGTTTTTCCACGGGTTCACCGTTATCATCTTCATCAATAATTTCCATGTCACTATCGCTGTCATGAGTACGAGATGGACCTGGTTTCGGTTCATCAGCACCGTTGGAACCATTCGCTGGTTCATCTTTTGGCCCTGGCATCGGAGCATCTGTATCAGTAACCAAACGCCACGAATTCTCATCATCCTCTTGCTGAAGTCTCACTCTTACTTCGTAATTCTGTAGGAAATCATCGACGAGTAAAGCACAACCATCATTCAGTCCAATCTCTTCGAGAGTCTTTTGATTGTTATGATCAGTTTCTCCAGGTTCAGATGATAGGACAACAAGGCCTTTGCCTTCGACTGTGGCATCAGGGGCCTGCATGTTCAAACCCTCTTTGAAAGCCGCTGTCAGATCTTTAAGGGTTAACTGTTTCAAGTTGCAAACGAGTGCAACCTCCGGTTTGGGTGCGCAAACGTAACATTTCGGATTAGGTGCTGTTAAAGCTGAAAATGGATTCAAAATTAATAACATATTTACTATTTGTTGATAAAACAAAGTAAAGGAGAAAATAATTACATCAATAGCTCATATATAGAGTATCACTAGCTACGATTCAGTGATTTGAACTGTGTTTTGTCTTTTAACGTGGTAAATACAAATTACTTCGTAAATGTGAAAGTAACATTAGAAATAAGGTCTATAGATTTTTGTATCTTATGAATAGTATATGTATATTTTGAATAGTATCAATATTTAAAAATTTGTCTTGTAAAATTTGCGTTTAAAACACAATAATTTATATAGGAGCTTCATCGGGAATTAGTTCATTTGGAGGCATAGGTCAATGTTCTCTAACAATACATGTTTAAATATAATTATAATTTCTCCTTACTCCTTTCCGGTACAAATAGTTGTCCTCGATGGTTAACCTTTGGTCTTAGATAAACGCTAGTGCACGATTCAATTTCTCCTTTCAGTATTCCTTGTGCACGTAAAACTGCAAGTCCGGCGACGATAGCGTTAGCTGTTGCTATTGCAGGAATTATATTACCCGCCATTGCTATAAATAAATGTATAAATTTAGTATTTAAGATATATGAGACTAGCTGTTGCTCTCGACTTCGCCCGCGTGAAATTAAAAAATAAACCCTATGTTATTCACCGATAAATTACCTATCTAACGGTGAAATAATTTTTGTAATAAGCCCAATAGTTTTTGAGTTATTTCAATACATACAAAAATACAAATCTTTCCTCTTTATAATATTAGTACAGATAAGCATAGATTTTTCAATGTGAATCCTAAATAAATTCGCAAACGAAAAACAAGAAACCTGTTTGCTTACACGAAAATAATTTACTGTTGCAATTAAATCTATCTTTGCAATAGTAAAAGTCAGACATTGTATTGAGTTTTGTGAAAAACATCTGTTTCTTTACATTTAACTGCTCCCCTGAACTATTTTATAGTTTCGTTCAAAAGAAAAGCCAAGATAAACATACATATTTACGTAATGAACGAGAGATTTTACGAATGAAAAGTTATGACGTCGTCAGGGAGGCGTTTTTGTATGGTATATGGTAAATTCCACACAAATCCAACCTTACGAGATTTATAAGATTTGTTTAAAAAAGTACACAATCCTTTTTATTTCATTCGTTATCCTTTTACATATAACTAGCTGTTGCTCGCGACTTCGTCCGCGTGATATTACAATATATTAAATATCACTTATGTTACTCACTGATAACATAGGTTATTTAATGTTAAAAAAATTGTTGAAATCGGCCCACTCGTTTTTAAGTTATTTCAATAAATACAAATATCCAAAAATATAAATACTTCCTCATAATATTAGTATGGAAGTATGAATAGTATAGATTCATCCTCATCACCAGCTCAAATGAGTCCCCACTGAGGGGCTCGGAGCTTTCCCTAAGTAATAGTGTAGATTACTTACATTTAACTTCAAATCGTGACTTAAGTGGTATGCTGAATATGTATGCGCGTATGTTAGCGCAAGCGGTCACAAAGTCCATAGCACTTTTATCATCCTTGTCCCAAACGAGGTGATCACCTTCGGGACGTCCTTTCAGTTCAGTTTGCAACACTTGGCAACTTGCCGCAAATACCTGTGTAAAAACATTTAAATGACAAAAAAATCTTTTTAGAATAGCAAGAATATTTCTGGTTGGTCCGCTTAATCAAATATTCAATCATGTTCCTATCCGAATAATCTATGTAGACATACAAATACAATTGGACACCTCTAAATAGTATCAGGTCGAAATTGGATTTTAGCCTCAACTAAAACCCCTGTGATCATACAACACTGCCCAGCAGTGACTGAATACAGGGTTAGGTATCTCGGTTCGCTGAGATCACCAGCAACATAAAGGGTTTGCTGGGGTTCTTTGGAGAGCTAGGTTGGCTGGAGTAATCCAGGTCCTGTTCGTACGCAAAATACGCGCCAGTCGTGGAGTTGCGTAAACCGTAGCCCCTACTACTACTACCCGTGTGATCTGCCAATTTAGTTGTTGAGCTACAACTCAGCAATTCAGGGCTAAATGAACTAATCTTTTGAGCCGATTCAGAGCTGATTTAAATGTCTATATCTAATCATGAGCATACATTTTTAATCATATCTTATGAGGAAATTAACTTAATCTAAACAGTTTTTAATAATAACAGCTGAATACTAGAACAAAAATAAAGCCATACTTAAAGACTAAATTCCATACAAATTTTGACGTCTTACAAGTTGTAAGCGTCACTTAAGTGAAATGTTTTGGCTCAGAACATAAGTTATAGCTTTCAACTGCAACTCCATCCATATGGAAAAAACAAAAAACATAGTTGCCTATGTGTTCTTATCCTATACGTCTATGCTAAATTTCATTGAGATCCATTCAGCAGTTCTCTCTAACAAACAACCATCCATCTAAACTTTCGCCTTTATAATATCAGGAAGATTTCTTAGTAAAATGTGTGAATAAATAATTATTACCTCAGCGCACTCATGTACAGACCACACTCTCTGGTCGGGTAGCCCTGAATGTTGTTTTGGGGCATCACCTTTTCCTGGCAAATTGTCCCAAGAAAGTGGAGTAGGTGGCCTACGTTTCTTCCAAAGGTTTTCCATTGACAGCAAATACTTGATATCATCACCGAATAACTTCGTAAATAATTTCTCTGCGTTATAATTAGTTTCCGCTGCCCATGTTCGTGTACTTTTCCTTTCAACATTACCGGATTCAGATTGCTGTGATGATAAGGCTGTTTTGCCGGCAGTTCCCGCTGCTTCAGGGTCCTCGGTGTCCGGACTTACATCTTGATCAGGGTCTTCTTCACCAAATAACTGATTGAATAAATGCTTAGCCCACACTATGCAATGTATCGGTTCAGATGGAGTGTTACGGATTGTGCATCCGGGGAATGTTTTCTGAGGTGCCTTTGGTTGGCATTCGTAACATTGTGTAAGACCTTTTTTAATCAGCTCCACCTGGAAACATCAGTTATTGTAGTAATAATTATTTAGAATCTTGAAGAACAACATTTTTTCATTTATCATTTTTATGTAGGTTCTATTATTAAGCCTATGTATGTCAAAATAGCAAAATTCTCCTTTTTATAACTGAATTTTTTGTGCACTATTCAAGCATAAACTACTCTACTACTACTACTTAAAACTAGTGGATAATTTTTATTTTTGAAAAATAAAACAAAAGGTGACTAGACGGCAACTGATCAACATCAAACTAAGGAAGTATCATGTAAATTTTGATTTGATAAAACTTTGATTAGTCAATGTTATTAATAAATACAGTATTTTATACTCATTAAAGCTAATATAAATAAACATATTATTGGATAGGAATGTAATTTCCATCTTAGTAAGTATTAGTTTCATTTCCAAATTTTTTGTATTAACTTCGCAACCTCCATTGTAAGTTATCATTAATGTTTACCTGTCCAGCATAACCTGCTGTTCCCGTTTCAATAAGAGGCACATTGGCTGCAAGGCACATTCTGTTCACATGATTACGAGCTACCCGATTGTCGAGAGCATTCATTACAATGTTGAATTGTTTAAAGTAGCTCACACTATAGTCATTACTGAAAATGTAAACATACACAGTTGTTAATAATATGTTCCACAATTGATACAAATGACCAAAAGTAGCAAATCTGTGTTCAATTGACTTTGTTAAAGGATTAAGACATACGCTTCCCAGTAGCAACTCTTTTGTAACAGCAATGGATTTTGCAACACAAATAAAATATGTACCAACCTAATAACACTGTCGTGATGTGCAACGATGTTCACATTAGGGTTAAAACTTAAAGCGCTATCCTTAGCAACTTGTGCCTTCGACTTGCCAACATGTTCCTTATGGAATAAAAATTGACGATTTAGGTTGCTTACGTCGATGGTGTCAAGGTCGATCTGAAATGCGTATTTGTATTAAATAACAGTACATTGAAATACATGGTAAAATATATAAAAATCTACCCACAATTTCAATCTGTGGGAAGCCGGTCAAAACGAGATTTTTTAAAATTTCACAACCTATACCACCGGCGCCCACAACTAATATCTTAGAATTTGCTATTGCTTCCGTTAACTTTTCATCAAATACTCCTGCTATGCGTGCAACCATTTTGATCTTATTAAATTAATTTTCTGTTTTACAGTATAAATATTAACTATTTTGATATAAATGTGACTATAAAACCAAACATTTAATGGAACGTAATGTCAAACTTGGCGTCTTTTCTTGGACAGCGTTCGAGCGTTCGGAAATCGGTAACATATATTTTAGGTTTTAGTAACTTTACTTTTAGTTTTCTTCGTTAATCAAGAACGATATGATTATTTATTTATTATAAATAAGGTGAAATAGAACTTATAGAAATATGAAAAACGACATAAAAAGCAGACAAACTTTAATACTGCTTTTGTCTGTGCTAGCGTATTTCGCGCCATTTTATTATAAGAGAAAAAAACACACCTTTCATTTAAAAGTAAACTTACACGTGTAATTTTCTAAGTATATTTTTACACACACAGTCACAGTCAGTTCACGTTTTTGATTGAAAGTATAATGATAGTGGATGATTTCGTACGCTTTACGAACTTACAGACCAATTCGTAGGCTTTTATTGTCCCTTCCGCGCAATAATTTCGCAATCGCATTCAACAAATGAGACGTTATGGTGCGAACAATCGAATTAAAGAGCGGTGCAGATCGAAAACACCGCTATTTTAGTTAGGCACGCAATAACGTTTGCTTGTAGATGTACCAGAGTCCTTTTTACGGTGGTCTCAGTACAATTGGTAAGGAAACTCCTTATATACCATTTTCCAGATCAGTTGTTTACGATTTGAAGGCCTGTGTTTGCGGTTAGTTGCTATTTTGTAACTTTGAGCGGTTCACATAATGATTTTCACTATGTAAAATCAAATTGTTATACATGATTTCATTTACACAGAGTTTTCCCTGTGATTTTGACTCTAATATTTTAAAACGGTATTATTATCTTTAATGTCATTTTCAATATGTCATTTTGTATTGTCCAAATTACTCAATATGATTTTCTAATTTATATTTTTGGACTTTATTATTTGTTTTCTATTAATCCGTTGTAGATTAAGAACAATGCCACCCAAGCCCAAGAAAGGTAAGCTTTTCAGAATGCAAATGTCCATTTTTAAGCTGTTTATTTAACAGTAATAAATTTCCTGTATTTTACTCATTATGAGTAAGAGTTTTGTAATTTCATCGTGTCATGATTGACTTCCATCACAAGTCAGTCTTAAATGAATGCAATATAAACATTTTCAAATAGGTAAAGAACAAAAGAAGGAACCACCAAAATTAGTAATGGGCCCTCCTCCAAAGCCGAAAAAAATACCCCCTCCTCCAGCTTGTTTTTCTCCAGAGGATTTAGCAAGATTTAAGGAAGTTTTCAAAGCGCATGATGAAGATAATATTGATAAGGTACTTGCAATAGTTGTTAAAAGGTTAGTTTAAATCTCAAATTTAGTGGTGTCTTGTACTGATAGTCAACGCAAGCAAACTTACAGGCGCTCGGTTCCTGGTTCCCCATACTTAGTTATTTAGAAAACCGGTATAAAAACTTATAGATCAGATGATTGTTGTTGATTGTATAGATCTTGCATTTCTTCCGACTAACAGTCGCTTCCGACTCCTTCCACGTGTAATTAAAAAAAGAAAAGTAAGTAGCCTATGTTCTTCCAAACTATCCGCTACATCTGTGCTAAATTTTATCGAGATCCATTCAGCCGTTTAGGCTACAAACTCTAACAAATATCCATCTATCCATCTAAACTTTCACATTTATAATAGTAAGATTACCTTGCAATAAATTTTTCGTATACTCAGGTAAAGTTGCCAGAAATCCCGATAATGTTAAGGAAACTTGGATTTAATCCGAAAGGCGCGGAAATCAAATTTCTGTACGAGAAATTTCTAGAAGACGAGTTCGTGGATACGGTCGAGTATTTCGAGTGGCTTTTCATGATAGAAGCTAAAATTAATATGGGTGATGATTTTGAATTAGCAGTCACCAAAGCCATGGCAACTATAGGACACGATGATGAAGAGACTGGTTTTACAGATTTAAATTTACTAAAAGAGGAACTAATGGTTTGGGGTGAACCTTTGCTTGAAATTGAATTTGTCGACTTTATAAAAGTGGCGACGAAAAATAAAACATTCACTCCGTTAGATGGTAAATTTAATTATGTTAAATTTATCGAGCTTATGAACAATGCTGATCAGAAATTCTTTAAAGAACCAATAAACTTCTTTAAATTAGACCAAAAGACGTTAGCGGCAATGGCAATACAGAAGGCTCAAGAAGAGAAGGAGGAAGAGGAGAGGAAGGAGGCTGAGAGGCTCGCTAAAGAAGAAGCCAAGAGGCAAAAATTAATACAGCAAGGGCTTTTACCAGCTGATTAAATGTAATTCTTTTTTTTAATGCACTACACTTTTTTTATCTAAATGATCAGTGCAAAAAACGCTATTTTAATATAACTTTCATTCTTTGGAAATAACCGCTGTTTAAGGTTTTTCTCTAAATAATAGTGATTCGCACATTATTTTGAAAATCAACTCTTAATAAAAAAGTACCTAATATCGTAATTTTGATGAATTACAATTTCTTTAGAGTGACGATTCGACGAGTTATGCTTAAGTCTTCTTTATAATATAGCAGCTGCCGGAGACATTGACGGTATGACATTTTTAACGGAATGATACGGGGATTATACGAAAAGAAAAAGATGGTTTAGGTAAGATATGTATAAGAGGGGCATGAAATGAGATAACATCATTTTCATGAGTGCAGATATAAAAAAGACAATTGGATTTATGTATTTTTCAGTTTTTTTTAAATCACTGTTTCTGTACAAGTTTCGACGTCTATTTTACACCTAAAACATTAAAGGACAGAAAATAATTGGACCTTAATTACGAAAGATATAACTACCAACATTTATTCAAACATTTTCTATGAGATTGTGGCATTGTTTCCATCAAATCCAGCCAGTAGATTGCTGTTACAGGTTTATGCCCTGGAATCTCTTGTGGGGTTTTTATTCAAGCAGCATTAGCAAAATTAACAGAAAATAATTACGTGACACTGTAGTAAACGCAAACAAACATTACGAAGGTCCCTCTAAGCAAGATTAAGTCATTAAAAGAGCAGATTTTAGCAAATAGTTTTCGTGTACATGGAAATGCTTTTGAGGACAATTATGTCGTATTTTAACAATGTCTATGGGCCTTTCGAGAGACAAGTTCGTTTGAAGGACGTCTCTAACAATTATTATGATAATTGCTGTGACAGCACGTAATGGAAACCGTCTGTTTTAATTTATGTATAAACTAGCATTTTCCCGCGACTTCGTCCACGCAATATTAAGATAAAAAAGTAGCATATAATATGCCTATGTCAGCTACCCTTAAGTGAAAGTCTGGTTGAAATCGGCCCAGCCATTTCATAGAATACCCGGAACAAACGCGGCTAGCGGACAGAAAGACAAAAAAAATTTAAATGCAATTTTTGTTATCAGCAGCGCAAATACATCATCTTTCCGAAATCTGGATTTTTTATATCACAAACAGACGCTCCAATTTTATTATATGTATAGATGAGTGTTCACCAAACCATGGTTGTTTAAATCTGTTCGATATTGCATTTGCGGTCATGTGGTTGGTACATCAGTGTCGTGATAATCGTATAGAGAAACAAACACAGCTTTTAACCGCAAAAATGTGACCTAATAATTATCTGCTTACTGAAATTATAGCTTTCAGCTCTTGATGCGGAAAATCATTGAAAAACTTCGATTTTCTTTTTGAAATAAATAGTTTTGATAGTGCTTATTATTGTATTAACTTTAGTTGATTCTGTGTCACTTTGATCGCTATCGCTTGGAATGAAAAAAAAATTAAATTACCAAAATACTTTGGTAGTTTGAAGGAGATTGTATTCGAAAACATTTTTTATTAATAAACTCGGCTCGTCTGTTTTTTTTAATTGTACTATAACATTAACAACACAAGAAAAGCGATAAAAAACAAAGGTAAAGTAAAGGTTCAAGTAGAAGGAATACAAACTTTTGCGATTTATCGAACATTAAAAGGGTACCTTCCGCACTATATTTTCTCAATTTTACCTCTTCAACATAGAGATTTATCGTCTAAGAGTCTTAGAACTGTGCCTTTAGTGAAAGTGACGGCTGGTTTTAAGAGATTTTTGTTGTTCTATTTTCCAGAACGTTCTCCGATGAAGTTATTTCGTTTTCATAGAAACTTATTTACAAGATGGAAAGACATGAACAGGAATTTGTATATTGTTTACATTGCTATAGTAATTATACTTGCTATGGTTCGATTCATTGCCAAAGCCTTAAATATTAAATGCGCGTTAAGTGCCGATTCAAGTTCTGCAAACAGTGTAGTTTTAGATATTTAGTAAACAACTTCGATTTTGTAGTGTCTGGACATAGCACTTTCTTAGCCCATTTTTTGAAATTTAAACATTGAGGAAATATGTCTTATTGCACTCAAGCGCCAAAACATTCTCTCGAATTTATGTATAACAGTAAATTCCTCCAAAGGAATTCAAGTAATACATTAGTTTTAGACCAGATTCCCGTAAAAATATCTTATGTATAATCGCAATTTGTCCTTGAAAAGACAAAAGCCACGTCTCGAAATGTCAAACGAAACTGGTGATAAATCTGAGAGTACGGCTTGGTTAGTCCCATGTATTGTTATAGTTGTATATTAAGGCGCCGGTAGCTTAAAAAATGACGCCACTTTCAAATAATGGGACAAAATCCGATATTTCCATCACATATTTTACACGTTAGATTTCTAATTTGGTGGGAAAGCCCTTTAATGTCTGAGATGCCTCTTAAAACGGCGGCAGTATCGAAATAAGAATACCGAGTCCTAACAAATAGTATAACTTGCCATAATAACATCACTTTCCACTTTAATATCAGAGCGGCGTCAGAATATACAATTGGGGCACTTTGTTCATCCATTAGGCGACGTTTTACGTGAATGGAAATGTGATGTTCTGGAAGCCAAAATTTAGTTTGTGACAATTCAAGATAAGGTGACAGGTTGACATCTCCGGCTGTAATTTGATTATTTAGTACAATAACTTAATTGTCCGTGATCCTATGGACTGTTGAAGTGTTCTTATGTCCTTGTTCTCATATCTTCGATCTTCACACTCATCGATTTATTTTCATACTCCTGATTTCTTATTAGAAGCATTGAAGGTGGATTATGAAAAATGATGCGAATTCCATTGCAGGTTATGAACGTAGTAATTTCGTTAAGGCTCTTCCAGTCTGCATAAAGGTAGAGGCTCACAGCCGCGACATTCTGGAGGCTTGTAAACAAAACAATTCTCCTCGCCCCTGCAGGGGTAGTCTTTGCAAACGTCGAAGGGCGCCAGGCAGGATCTGTAAGCTGATAATAATATGAATTAATAGAAAATAATGTTGCCAGATCTCGTTATTTAATTACCTTAATATATGATCTTTACTTTTATACACTCGGGTAATTTAATTTAAATTTCATCGAGCTAACGTATGAAATAATACTTACTGTCATAACATATGTTATCAAAACAACATCCACCGCAACAATATTCATGGTCTGCGCACTGAAATTGGAAATCAAATGTTATTTAATATAAAGCTTTATTCGTAAGCGGAAATACACATTGTAGTTATTTAAATATCAAGAAAATTATGTAAAAAAATTAAATGTTGGAAAATCTTTGTTGCAATCGTTTGTCATCGAGGAAAACTGCAGAGATCGTTATCTAATATGTGGAATTTTGATTGTACTGACGACATGTTTCCTTATTTTTTACCATTTTCCTTTAGTAATTGGCAATAAATATAAATATATAGTTATTTTGCCTTATGGAGTTTTAGTTTGTTAAATTAGAAAAGGAATATAAAATGTACAATTGCCAACAAAATCGTTATTCGACTCGAGTTTCGGTTCTCATCGATAATATTCTATTGGTTATTTGCAAAATCAAATCCAATTTGGGTCGGTTGTCCAGGGTTCGGTTAGAAACAATTTGACTTCATTCCATATTGTGTAGTCAACCATAAGTCTTATCTCGATTGTCACTAATTAGACTAAAACAATGTACATTAAATGAAAATAGTTAATTTAATAATTCTCTCTATTTTTAATTTACAAAAAAAAATCATACCCATTGTCCACGAACTCTGCAGTCCTGTCCACATACAACCACGCACAGAAAAGTAAAAACTATCAAAAACTGCATTTTTTAAATTTGGAATGACGTTTTTTTTTAATAAAATTAAAGTACACAGATTGCGGCGTGCAGCCAGCGCGACGCTCGTTCAGCTCGGATGTCCTCGCGTCCTCGCTGCGACCGAGTTAGCTCAGCCGCTAGCGGTGACAATTACGTAACGCGATAACAAATAAATCGTGACTCTATTGATGTATATCTGCTAAAACTAACACTTTCTTAGTACTTTCAAATTTAGTTTTTCAAAAGCATCTCTGATTTTCTAATAATAAGCATTTATAGATATACTTGAAATGGCACATTATTTGTAAACATTTTAACTTATAGCAATCGACTTAAATATACAATTTATATGCTTTTTTAGTATAAATTATTTGTTAAATATTTATCTAAAAGGTAGGTAGGAAGGAAGAGGTAACAAATGATCCTATTTCAAATAGAATTATTAGCTATACAATGTTATTGATAGATCGTAATTTAGTAACAGGTGCTTGTTTGGCTTTCAAATTAAGGTGGCAGTTGATTGATTTGGCCCGAGATTCGACAAGACTTTGACTGAGACACTTATTACTGTTAATCTAAGCTGTTACAAAGATTGAAAAGCTCTTAAAGTATACAAATATGCTGTTACTATTTATTTTTAATCGCATATTTAATTTATGCACGCAGTTTATAGGAGGTATACACTTCGTTAGGTATCTTTATGCAGAAAATAATATCGATAGAGATTACGCAAGTCAGTCTCAACTAATTAAAAAAAATCTTTACTTATTTTGACCTTAAATACAAGAAAAATTCTCATCATTTCGTTCTGATATTATCGATCATAGAAATCATAAAAAGGTGTAATTTTATCACTTTCTTTCACAATACGTAATTAGTCAATTTATTTAAATACTTTTTACTTACTCTAAACAGAGATACTGGCCGGTTCCAATAGTCGCATGCATCATTAAATCTGTATAAAGCTTTGTGAAATATCGAACAGGACAATGAAAAATGTAATAACTTTATTCGGTTTTGTTCTAGACAAAAGAGTCACCTAATAAAAAATAACAATGTATTCAATAACTTGAAAACAATTTTGTATAACAGAGTTTATACCATACAAATAATTGATGATATTATGAAATATTCCAATACGTCGGTTCTATCCTATTTCCTAACTCTGAAATTCTATATTTAAGTGAAAAATACGAAATCATACTCGTAT